TATTTTAACCCATTTTCAAAAAATCAAATTTTGAGAACTACATCTGAAATTTTGCCACAATGTGTAACTAATGACCAACAGAGTATACTGAAAATTTTATCTAAAAATAATCATGGTTTCTCGATATTTTGTATTTTCAAGCGAACACTTTCTTTTCAATCTGTTCATAGCAAGTGTCTACTTTTTGGTAACCTCAATATTTTGTAAGAGAAACATTCTTTAAAGTATCTTGATGCTCTGATGTACTTATACTTCTGAGTCTGCTCTTTGTAACGGTGAAAACCACAGTTCTTCATGTTGTTCCTGTCAAACGTTAACCAAAAAACAGTCACTCTTCTTGTATTTTGAAATGAAAAATAAAATAAGACAATTTCCATTTCATTAAATAAAGATATGTTTCAAATGATGAAACGTTCTCGATGATTTCTTGCAAAAGAAATCCTTAGATTCCATAAACTAGAAAGTCTAGGATATACAAAACTGTAGTTACAACAAAAATCATGATCATTTTTCTCAGTACCCGATTTTGTTTCAGTTCTCTGATTCAAACTCTAAGTTACAGTTTACTTTTTCTTGAATTTTCTATTTGTGTGACTGCTGGTGCTTACGCATTTTCATGTTTTGAAATAGATTTGACATTCTTATTGTAATTTTCTCTCTATACTTTTAAACTTGTGTCTCATCAATTTCATCCAGTCGTCTTTATTTATGCTGCTCTTTCTGATTTCATGTTTGTTTGTTTCATTATATTCCCTTTTTCATTTCTTTGAAACTTTTCATTTTATGTGGTACCGTAGTTCAAGATCTTTACAGATTCATCGCTCTCCCATCTCAGTTTCCCTAGTTACATTTATTAACGTAGGATACCTTAGGTCTAGATTTGAGTATTACTAGTGCCGATTCACCCATGAAACTTCGAACACAGCTATTGCTGTTCCAAGTATTAATTGATAAGCAGCATCGAAGAGTGAAAGCTGCTTCTCCACACATGTTCTAATAACCGAGAAAAAAGAAAGTTAGAATTGTTTCTTCCATTGAAATAAGTTACCAAAAAGTAATTCTTGAACCGATTCGCCTAAGAACCTGTTTCAAGTACCGTCCAATAAGCTCTATCAAACAGCAAAAACTGCACCTCGATGCATACATCGTTTGTGAGAAAATGACAAAAACCGGTCTAAACAGCCATTGCATCTGGTATTTTCTGGACCGATTCGTCTGGAAGCCAGTTCTAAGAAAACCCGTTGAGTTCCAAGTGTTATTGTCCCAGCTCTGCCCAATGATGAAAATCCCATCCCAAAAGCATCATCCATTAGTGAGCTATTCGTCTAACAATACTTCGCCGCGCGACTTTGGTGACACCCATAATGAATACATCAGTATTAACTGAACTGATTTGTGCTAGAGAGTGTTCCAAAAAACCTGTATCTTGTTCCGAGCGCAACTGGATGAATTCTGTCTAATGATGAAAACCGAATGCCTATAGATTGAACGTTTGAAGGGACATTTCCTGATTCTAGATCCAATATTTCCGTCGAACTACTATTTCTTGGGCCCATTTGCTCACGGACCTGTTTCAACAAAACCGTCCGTGTTTCAAGTGTTGTTCGACGAGCTCTATCCAATAGTGGAAATCTCATCTGAATGCATTCAATTGTCTGAGAGATATTGTCCTGATATCGGTTTCAATCCCTTCTCCGACCCCCCCCCTCCTCTCACACGCGTAAATCGAGGCACAATTTCCACTATTGAAAAGAGTTCGTGGAATTACACTTGGAACAAAGAGAATGTTTTTGGCACAGGTCCCTGAACAAATCAGCCTAAGAAAAAGTCATTCGACAGGAACATTAGTACTGAAATTAGGAAAATATCCCCTCGATAGTGCAATATGTTGATATGTGGCTTTCGCCATTGGATAGGGCTCATCGAAATGCACTCGGAACAGGATATAGAGTTTTCGGAACATTCTGCAGCACGATTCGGCTGAGTTAATTCTGGTGTTTTTACTAGAGATGTCATCACAGTTGTATGGTGAAGCATTGTTAGACGTATAGCTCGTTTATGGATGATGCTATTAGGATACGATTTTTCTTGTTGGATATAGTGTGGAAAGTGGCACCTAGGACTCTATGTTTTTTATTGGAACTGCTGTCTAGCCAAATCGGCCCAGAAACACCAGACGGAAGAATTTTTTATACCGTTTTTTGGCATTTTCTCACGAATGATCGTATGTATCGAGTTGTGGTTCTCATCGTTGGGTTTTCTCTCACGCCATGACTACAACGAGATAAGTATGCTACTCATGCAACTTGGAAACTCTCAAATATCTAATGACTCCTTTGAGTCATACCTAATAGCCGTGTAGCTGCACTTGTGTTTGTCTTTTCAATGAAAAGATGAGATATAATGCATTTATTATGATTAATATTTCCACTAGACTACGAAGAAAGTAAATGAGATAGATGTTATTTATGCAAATTGGAGATTTTGAAACGCATTTCTTGTTCGCGTGAGTCATATTCATTGACCGTACAGCTTATAAAGGAGTTCAAGCTTATAATACGAATCTTGGTTTTCAATTGATATTATATCCAGTTCAAGTTTGAGTTCCTGAAGTAGCACTGGTCTTGACAGCTTTCAGTGCAATCAGAAAGTCTCGATGTATAATGAAAAAATGCGAGAAAGACTTTGCATTGAGCATGCCGAAAATAATTTTCAAAAATAGACTCTAAACACATGATACTATCCAGGCTATTCATTATAAACATCTTAAGCAGCAGTAAAGTCAAAAAACGATAAGATCACCGCCGTAATAATGATGATTTTTGTCGTTTACACATCATAATCGATGAGTCCATTTTACTGAACATTTCTCGTCATAATGTGAGTACAGGCGTGGATGTGCAGTGAGTGTCATTATAGAGATTATTGATGATCAAACTCTCACCTTTCCATCTGCATTCCATGTCCACTTATGCCCGCAACTATTGCGAGTCAATATTTTGTTTGATTAGAATGTAAGTATGTCTATGCGTGTAAGTATGAGTGGGTCGATGCGAGTATAGGTGTGGCCGACAAAATAACTACATTCGCAGTCCCACGCATACCCCGTGTGGAAACAACCTGAAAATAAGAAGAATCAGAGGTTCGTGAATCAGCAATCCAAAGGAAATGTTATTATATGAGACACATTAACGATTCATGAATAAATTCAACATGAAAATCTGCATTCATCAAACTCATATTTTGCAAGGAAAAAAATATCAAGACAATAGCGAATCAGCGAACTACTAGATGGTTGCATCTGAAAGTAAATGAATCACTGAGCAGATTTGATCATATGAAGCAAGTCAATGGCAACAAACGTATACACTCAAAACATGAAAACGGAACATTTTTGAGAACTTGTATTTATGACCAGAAGATGAACTCAAAAGCAATATTTCATTATATGCTAAATATATATCATTTGAATTTCGAAATCGTTTGAATAGAAAAATTTTCAAGCATAGTTTCATAATTCGAAATAAATTACAAATTTTTTGGGTGAGCAAAAAACAGCGTGAAACATTTCTGATAAAAGAAAACAAATATTCTTTTGAGTTTGAAGAAAATACGATTGACAATATCCTTGATGAGTGTGATGGAAAAATATTTGGTGAAAATAATTGAGATATTTTTATCAAATAGTTCGTTCCAATCGAAAATAAAGTTCAATTCATTCGTATTCTCAAAAGTATCTTCAAATAAGAATTGTAGACTTAACAAAAAGAGACTTTTTAAAGAAAGTAATATCGATTATTTAACGAAATGTAATTTATTAGTAGATGATTCACATAAAAAAGATAAGAAACTGAAAAAGCTATCACTTTAAAAAAGACAATTGTTAGGATCGCTATCAATATGTTTTACATAGGCAGATGCTCCGTTCTTATGATAGTCTCTCTATCTCTCTTTCTCTCTACTCGCATATATGTAAAAGTTGTTACCGTTCTACTACGTGGTCATTACTTTTATTTATTGCGATTTTTCAATCGTGCATCATTCTTCATAAATTGTTTTTTGTTATTTTTAATTTTCTGCAGTAAACAAAGTTTAAATTTTCATATTTTTTGTAGAGAAAAGAAAAAAACGGAGGTTGAAAAGAGCACTTATTTTTTCCTTATTACTTGCTACTATTGGATCAGCATCGAGTTTCTTAACTCTAGATCGTATTGCTTTATTTTTTGATTTTATTACAGAAGTGAAAAGTATAGATATAATTTCAATATCTGTTGGATTTGTCAGACACCAATTAATTGCATTGATATCATCATCCAGATGACGAACATGATTCGATAAGATAGTTTCAAAAACTATGAATGAATCTTTTTGTACACAGTACTTCAACATAGATAGAAGACATTCATCACCACTTGTAAATGTAACTGCGTAAGCTGAATCTGAACAGTAGTATATACTTGGTGTTACAAATATTCCATTTGAAAAATCGGCAATGTCAAACGTAGATATTTCTGGCGTGATATGATTGTTTGGCGAACAAATACAGAATCCACTTGAGTAATATGAGGAAAGTCTATTTCATCGTGTTCATGGATTCCCGTGTATTTGTCAGCAGCAGTGTGAATCAACATACCTGGTGGAAGGCTTAATAGAGAAGGAGTAATATCAATATGTCGAACAAAAGAATGCGTTTCGTCAATCGAAATTAGACGACTTTGTTCTGTTCTATAATAAAACCAATAAGATGATGATTTTGCCCAATTATAAAGTCGAACATTTGGTTCTCCTTGGCATGAAACTAATGGCATATCATTCATTTTTTAGCGCTTCGTCCATGACGGTACTTCGTTGTGAAAAGGCAGATACATTTGTGAAAATTCAAAACAATCAACATCTGATGATATTATGTAATCAGTATCAATTATCAGTTTGTCATCTATGCAATTACTTGAAAATGTAAATGATAAATCTTCAAATGTAAATATTTGACTTTCAGACATTTAATCAGGTATTTCCATTGATGAACTTTGACCATTTGAATGAAATACACTATAAACATCCTGCGTAGAATAATTAGAAAGTTCTTCACGAAGAGTATGACTACTTTGTGCATAATGTGTTCTGCCATGTGCTGTTATACATAGTGGCAATTAAAGAAATCTCGAGTTTTCATGTCGAGCATGACATACGACTGGTAGGACTGTTGCACCATCTTTTCCAAAATTCAATAGACGTCAAGGATCCCATACTGTCACAGGAATTGCTTGCATTAGATTGTTATATGTAGCATTACAAATGAACCTTAATTCTGCTAACGATTTATTGTCAGACGTTGATCATCATCATAGAGATGAACGGGAAAAAAAAATTTTTTTTTGAAAATCAGTGGGACATTGTTGTAAATGTTTTTTCATTTCATTCGTTATGGCTTCATTGAAAGCAGTAACGTCATATTTATTTTTTTATACTTATATCAGCTTCGTGACTCAAGAGAACTTTCGGATATGATATCATCTTCGAGCACATCGGATTATGAAATGTTGACATTTTATAATGATAAAAGAAATGCAAACGAATGCCGACTGAAAAGTTCAACTTATTTTTTTCAAGATTGACTACAAAGCGCAATGTTTTTATTTCTTTTTTTTTTGAATAAAATATGTTTCATTTATTCGATTAATGATTTTCGAATCAACTTTCTCTGTATCAACATAATAATACAACCTATTTCACGTATTTTAATACATTAAAACTAATTAGAAAGGTTGCATTATCATGTAATTGCACAATTATCGGTTACATAGATACACAGGCAAAAGTAAAAGTGTATAATGATTGTACGAAAATCGGTGAAAAGAAGATAAAAGTTTATTAGTTTTAAAAAATAATAATTCATACAAAATTCGGCCAAATAATTTACAATATATTCAAGAATAGGAAACATCACAGATGTCCATAACTACGACTTTTTAACAAATCGTTCTAATCTACGAAACAGTACATGCTAAAGGGTGAGCCATAAGTCTTGGTCGCTCTCAGGAAAATTGCTCTTTCTCCCTTATAACAAATCCAAAAAAGTTCAAACTTTGGTATATAATCCCTTGTAACATGATGAATATTATCCTAAATTTTCACATGTCTACCCCTACAAATAAAGGAGATACATATATTAGCATTTTAGATCATTTTCTATGTCATAAAAACAACAAATCATCAAGGAT